TAAAACATAGTTAATCGAAAGCTACAGCAAGTTCATCCTCCCGAAGGTCGGGTTTAGTTCATGGTAAAAGAAAATGAAACATGTGGATAGAATTGAGTAAAGAAGCTTCAGAAATGGTGGAAACTCCCTAGCTCAGTGAGGACACAAGGTGAAGCTCCTCCTTCGTCAACTTCTTCCTCGAAAATGGGTAATGAATGTTCTCTGATTTTGATGCCCAAATTGATTCTCTATTCTATCTCATCTCCTTTGCGGCTAGTCACCATTTCCATTTTATATCGGACCCTTAAATTTAGGGCAACGCCTTTATTGCGTAGTCACAGTAAAGATGCCCGAATTGACCTTAAATTTAGGTCACTATTTCCTTTGTACGCACACAGTTAAAATTAGGACAACAAGTTACTGCGTAGTCACATATGCGAGAGCGTCCAACAAGCTCGACAGGCTCCAACATAGACACTCTGCTTAGGCTCTAGCTGCACTTCAGCAGCCTTCATAGCTCCCAGCTCAAATTCCCTTTAACTCTAAAAATCACGCCAAAATAATCAGATAATCAGCTCAATTTCATTCAAGTAAGGGTTATTGAGAATTCTAAACAACTTAGGTACCTACTTAGCTAAATGCTTCTCTTTTCTTGCTAATTCCCTAGGGATCCTTACATTTACATATAAAAATTGTCCAATTTATGTCATAAAACACTATCTTATGGAGAGTTGTCATTCTCTAAAATCTCAAATTGCAACTCTAACTAATACTTTGTCTCAACTTGTAGCACTAGGAACTTCCCAATCAATTGAGTCTGTGGAGCAAACACATTGTATTCCTAACACACACCTATGTTTATGTCAAATATGGGGTGCATCGTGTTGAGGAGAATTAAGTATTGTGTTTTTTTGTGTGTGGATGAGCTTCTTCTAATTATGGGGCATGTCTTTGTCAAATCTGTTGCTATTGAGTTTGATCTACTATTACGATTTAATAAACCTAATGCAAGTGTACAATAAATCGTTCAGCAAGTGATAAAAGATTCTATCCATAGAGCTTGAATAACTAATATGCTCTAACTCTTTAAAGAGTGAGTAGCCAATGATATTTTAATTTATAAAATACACAGCAAACAAATATAAATATAAAATTGATTTATAACCGTTTATAACTATATTATGTGAGCCTTATCCCTAAGTACCCACACTCCACAATAAAATTAATATGGATCTAATACAAATTAAAGTCTTTCTTACCTTATCACATTCTTCCAAAAGCAAATAAGGTTTGTAGTTCAAGCATGTTGATCAGTCATCTAGAACTTTAGAAAATGAAATACAAACATTAATCCAACAAAAGCAACTCAATAAACTATAAAATTGATGTTTACAAGCAAAAAAAGTTCATACTCCCGTAATGAGTTTAGCTCAAATGCGACATAAAACAATGAAATGAAAAGAAAGATATAAAATCCATTTCGATTTAGACAAGAGAGAAAAAGAAAACAGTAGTGAACAAAGTCTTATCCACTGGGTTAGCTGCTCCAGCCCTAGTGTTGTTGTCTTCCTCAAGCAGCTCTGAAAAATGGAAGAAATATCCCTCTCTTTTTCATGTTTCAGCCTTTCTCCTTGGGATCGATGATTTCTTGAGGCAGCCTTGTCTTGAAGAATTCATACCTCTACTTAATTTTAGGTCAACAACTTAGAGGTGTCTAGGTTCCCATGAGAATTAGGTGTTTTTACTTTTACAACAACTTTTTCCTTGGGTAAAAAGAACTTTTGTCGTTCCTCAGCTCAACTTTCAATGTTAGCTCCAATGCTCTAGCATCTCATATGCTAAGATAAATCATCTTTAATGAGTAAATTTCTAGATAAAGCGCATAATATGTTTTAACCTCTAAATGTTCAATTTATAAGCCTATAATACTTCAATTCAGTGCTAAATCATTGAAAAACTTCTCTATCCGAGACACTTTTCACCTAAATTATTTCTCTTACAAAGAGTTGGCATTTATCCATATATCTTGTTAATAATATCACCAATAATCTCGCGATAATCTTAGTGAAGATCTCACTAGGTAATCCCAACAAATCTTCTAGCAAGGGCTTAATGACTTAATCTTCGACTTCTCCTTAATGTGGTCTCATACTAGGTCGTGCTTCTACTGAGAGAGCTGCATGTCCCTGCTTGGCAACTTGGCACTTGACCCGTTGTCAAGTATGTCTTAACTTTTAAGTTAGGTCGACTCTTACTGCAACCCTGCCAAGAGGGTTGGCTCCCTGTCTTGTGCTAAAAATTGAGCTCAGCTCTCCCCATCTCATGCACGAAGACGAGATTGACACTCTTTTCTCAGCAACTCATTATTCCTACCTTCTTGTTGGGACTTCTCTATTCGACTTGTTTAGTTAACTTACCTTTTTTTTTTCATTACCCAGAAGTCGGCGACCCTTTGACATTTTTGCCCCTATACCTGGGGGGTATGCACACTGTCCCCGTACCTGTACATACGCAAGGGGTCCTTGCTTGGTGGAGTTGCATTTCATGTGACTTGAATCCAATACCTCAAGGATATTCCTTGAAGCCCCCCAAGCCACCAGAACTATCCCTTGGGGAGTTGACCCATAACATTAGACCCCCACTCCCAAGTCAGTCTACGATTTCTCAATTTGATATGGGTTTACACCTTCAGGTTGAGCAACCGTGTATTAATATTCATGGGGTTTCATCTCAAAACCAATTGGCAATGAGATAAACCATTGTTAGGTCTCTTTTCTTTTCAATGTGGGATCCTTAACGTGCCCTTCGGATGCTCGTTTGAGTGTTTGAGCTTTGATACCATATTAATATTCATGGGGTTCCATCTCAAAACCAATTGGCAATGAGAGGAGTAGCCCATGACTATTATAAACCATTGTTAGGTTCCTTTTCTTTTCAATGTGGGATCCTTAACACCGTGTACTCTAAGTCCACACATATGTCTCCTTAGCTAGGTCGGTTCCTCATTTTCAAAGAGCTAGACTTATTGTAGCTTTTATTTACATTTATGTTTAAAGAGATATCCCCACTCATCTTGGTTAGAGAGGCATAGGGTGAGTTTGGTAGATTGTTCACCAATTCTTAACTTGTCTTTGTTGGAAAAATTAAAGAAATCCTAATTCATGATTATTCTAGAATAAAAGCCATAAAATTCGTGAACAATCAAGACCAAGGATCTAAGCATGGAAGAAAACCAAAATCTATAAAGAGTTTAGAATTACCTGGAACCATTAGGTAGATTGACCATGAACTGCGAGAAGTTATGGTTTGTCAACTATGCAACCTAGACCACTTATATGCCTATTAAATAGCCCAAACACAATTGCTCTTTAATTTGTTACCCACATATGAATTAATTATTAAATTAATTTCAACAATTTTTGCGGCAGCTAAATCGATAAAAACAAGTCTAGAGAAATCGTTTAGGCAACCTAGCAAAGCTAGCACCTTATAAACACAAAAACTAGATCATTGCTTACACGCAAGATACTACTCAAGGGGAAGTAAGGTTGGATTACCATGGATAGCTGAAAACCTTGAAGAAGAAGACTAGCTTCTTGTAAGTATATTCACTCATCATGTCCAGTTTAGACTACTTTTCTTGAAGTTTATTGATGTCAATTCTTGTTTTTCATTTATTTTTTTAGGTAAAGCAAAATTAGTCTTTGGTAGCATCCTTTAGAGAGGTTTTGCAAGTACAAAGAAGAAAGAATATTTCATAGAAAAAAAGCTACAGTGCCAACTTGAATGGTGCCTAGTGTTTGCATGGCAACTGGGCCTATATATTCAAATTTTAGGTCAGATTTTGAAGGAGAAGTGAGAGATTGGAGGAGGTTGCAGCTAAAGGCTTTTTCCAAGGGAGAATTCTTTTCTTTTCTTCTCTTGTCATTGTCTTTATATTTTTTATTATTGATTTGTAGATTTTAGCTTAGTTTTGTATTAAATTTCATTTCCATGGTACGATGCAGGCGAAACTATAAACTCTTGGACTTCATGTATTTCTGATTAAAGAAGTTATTTTCGTTGTTGAGTTAACTGAACTTAATGCTCGTAGTTTCTTGATCGCCAATTGTATGATTTTAGATTCAATTTGAGATCGAGAGATGAGAGTTGAATCGGACTTGAGTGTTGAGCCATATAAATATCACATGTGTGAGACAAAAGATATTTACAAATTCTTGGGTAGCATTTATGAATCTCGCGCTCGATACTTTTTTATAGGGTTTCGAAATTTCATAGAGATGTAAGAATTTTCTTGTCGAACTGTTTGCTAATGCTTTGAGAAATATAAGTAATAAATTCGAGGGAATTCCGTCATCTAACATAGAAAATAAACAATGAGGAAATAGTCTAGCCCATTCGAAGAACAGTTAGGCAAAGGCTCGGAGCTACTAAGAGTGGCTTTTGGACTCTGTACCATATCAATATTCATGGGATTCCATCTCAAAATCAATTGACAATGAGAGGAGTAACTCATGTCTATTATAAACCATTGTTAAGGTCTCTTTACTTTTCAATGTGTGATCCTTAACATATTTTACTCCCCTTTTAAGTCAAGTCAGGTGAAGCTAGAAGGAAAAACCTTTGTATTTCTCCTTCCATTTCTACTTTTTATTTTGTTGATCAACACGTTTTATTATTCAATTCAGTGGCAATCTTTTCATTTATTTCATTTCGAGTTGTAGTCACTTTAATCATGAGATCAAATTTTTTTCAATCCTTCTGCAAAATGTCGTAGCTGATTTTTCTGTAAAACACAAGTTTTAGTAGGCCATTGCGCTCACTACTTCAATGGTTTAATTCTCATTTATTGTATTCTTTCTTTGTTACGTGAATTTGGCCACTTAATTAAGTAGAATAGCTTTAATTTAATTCTGGAAAGATTGGGATAAATACAAAAATTTGTAAATAGCAACTTATTGTGATATGTTGTTCATAAAAATTTGTAATGAACTCCTAGCTCTTTAATTCATGTTCTCCAACTACTCATCAATGAGATCACAGGAAGCAATCCCCACAGCCTCGATCAGTCTTGACTGAAAAGCTTTCAGACCCCTGTGTAAGCAATTTATACTAGCGGATCAAGCACCTATTAACATGCAAAATCGAATTTTGATTCTATAAATTAGTTTAGACATTTTCTAAGCACAATGACAATATTTTATAATATATCTATATAAATTTTTGCTATTTTCAAAATGCAACATTAAGTATGCCCATTCTTGTTGTCTTTCTTTTTCTTTATTTCTCTATTCAAACCCTGTGAACATGAGGGCCTAAGTCAGCTTTTGGAACACTACGAAATTTAGAAATTTGAACAACAAAGAGAGACGGAAACTAGGGGCCCGTTTTGTAACGTTCCTGCGTTTTTTGTTTCTCGTTTCTAATTTTCTCAAGAAATCTAAGCATTTTACAAATAACTAATTTGTTTCTTGTTTCTCCTTTCTTGGATACATTCTCCCAATTGTATAGAGATTTTGGAAACAACCAAAACAAGTTTCTTCTTTCTTGTTCTCATTCCAATTTGTTCCAAAATATAGATGAAAATATTGTTTTATCATACTTAATTCTTTGAGGTTGGAACGATGCAATACATTTTTCTTCATTAAAAATAAAGAAACAGAAACCTTACCAAACAAGCCCTCGAGATTTAAATCTCACTCCAACATATTTTATTTCAATCTGAGCTTGTTCGCGGTGTTCGTTGTTTTCTACACCACAAAAAATTTAAACAGGATCACATACACGTACATATACATGTACAAAAAAAAATGTAAAATATAGTATTCTTCACTTATTGTGAATACATAAACCACCACAAATCTATATATGTCCAAAATAATGAGATGAAACACACAATACAAGCTAGTCATTTCTGTACATAGCACTCAATCTCTAACGTAACTAAGTTGTGGTTGAAACTACCCAAATGAGAAGTTTCACCACTCTAATAAGTAAGGGAATTATAATACAACAAAGAACAACTACTCCAACCATTACTAACAAAAGGATAAATACTACTTTATATGTTATCTTTAAAGCGTAAGAATTTCTAAATGAGACGTTTACGATCCAAACTCCCAATAAGTAACTATATGCTAAGGATGCAATGGCAATGCACATAGTTACTGTCAACAGCCATGCACAAATCCTATTTCTCAGAGGCAGTCGAGCTATAATGAATATAATCACACATATTGATGCAAGAAAAGAGATGCTATTCATAATCAAGTAAGTGATGTAACCATATCCTTGGTTTGATGTTGGATAGGCCATCACCGCAGTTCCAGCAATGAAAGCTATCAAATTATCGTGACGATAATATGAACGATGAGCAGTGGTATTGGGATTGAAATGAATATCTTCTTGCCAAACACCGCCAGGAGGGTTGATTGCACCTTGAAAAGCCACAGTTGCGATCACTGTTGCCACCAACATCATTGTACCCTGGACATCTTGAAGCCAATCCCCTTTGTACTTAAGATGCTTCTTCCACGAACTTTTCATCAACTTTTTCGACGTTGCGCATGTCGATGATGCTTCAATACATTGTTCTCTTACCCTTGAGACATCTTGATCAATTCTACATGATAAACTTTGACATGACGATCCATTTCCATTTGAGGCAACGCAACTACTCATCATACTTGTTCCAACTTTTATTCCTGGGATAGATAGTAAATACCGTACTATCTGCACAATTTGAATCAAATTTATCATATTTCAAATGGTTAGTTAAGGATCACACGTTAAAAAGAAAATGGACCTTAGGAATGTCCTTTATAATAGATATAAGCTACTTCTCTGATTGTCAATTGGTTTAAGATGGAATCCCATGAATATTGATATGGTATAAGAGCCCAAAAGCTCAAATGAGCATCCAGTCCGGTCAAGATTGATGAGCCAAAAGAGCCTCGATCTTGAGAGAGTATGTTAAGAATTCCATGTTGAAAAGATAAGAGAGACCTTACAAAGGTTTATAATAGATATTGGCTACTCAAGGGACCTAACGAAAGTTTATAATAGATATGACTCTCCTCTCATTATCAATTGGTTTTGAGATGAAACCCGATTAATATTAATAAGTTTTTTTCTTCAACCAACCAAATTAATCACAGTAATGTGTACCTCAATTTGTCTTAACATTAGAGACAGGTCCAAAACAGTATTGTCGCTGTTATCAACTGTGTTCAGAAACTCTTCATCATTGTGGATCTTCAGTGTTTTGATCAACATCTCAATGGCCTCTAAATGATTATCTTTTGCACATAAATGTAAAACAGTTTGACCATTGTGAAGCTTTGTCCAAACGGATTGTGGCCTTGCATGGATCAACTCTTGCATGATTTCGATTTGCCCACTTATCACTGCATGATGTAGAGGAATCAACCCATTCAAATCGCGAACCAAGCAAGCGCTAGTGTTCTTCTCCAACAAAGCTTGAACAATCTCAACCTCTCCATTTGCTGAAGCTAAGTGGAGGGGTGTTCGTTGGAGGGCGTCGACTTCACCAGCAAGTTCGGGCTTGAGATCCAAAAGAAACCGAGTGAATTCGAGTTGGCCATGCAAAACCGACACGTGCAATGGACTCTCGGTATTGGACGACGAGGAGATTAGAACTTTTTGAATGATATGTGGATCCTCTTGAATTAGTGTCTCCAAGCTCTGAATGGAGCCAATCTTTGATGCTTCATAGAGCTTTCTTTTATTTTCTTCAGCGGGTAGCATGACTATTCTAATTTCTTTGTTTTCTCCATTGGCAAAACTGAAAGATTGTCTGAGTTTATTATGAACGGCCTCCATTGATTCTCTAATAACTTACCTCCAAACGGGATTTTCATAAAGAATTTATAAGCCAATATTATATATAGAAATACAATTTCTTTAAAGTTATTTTGTGGAATTTGAAGACAAATATGTGATGACACAACTAGAAGATCTTACTTGACCTTTAAGTTTTTGAAATAGTCCAATTCTAAATCATCATCTTCTAAGAAGAACTATTCATTATTTATTCACTTTGGACTTGAATAAAAGGGTGACATCTCAGACCCCATCATCTCATTTAATTTATGGATGCCACACCAACATGAAGGATGCTAATTTACTTATTCATTTTATACTAAATTTAGTCTTGTTGGACACATAATTTCTCATCAAATAAAAATGAGAAAAATCTTGTGTATTGTGTCTGAGATATATAATATCTAATGTATATAAATTTTTAAAATTAATGCTCCCTGATACATTTACTAAACTCCATACTTTCACTAGCTTCAAGTAAAACCCTAAAGTTGGCTCAACATAACTCAATCTTGCTCTCCCCAAATTCCATTAGCAATTGTTAATTACCTAAAAATTGGAAGAGCCTAGTTTTTTTAGTACAACAATATGTAGAGGTGGAAATTCGAACTCATGATCCTAGGGTACAAATATTTTCGAAATCTAACACAAGTTTTGGAAACAACAAAATCTAGTTTTTTTTTCTTAACAACAAGTGGGGTGGGGGTTCGAACTCATGACCCTTTTGGTCAAAGACATGTGTCAATTACCGTTGAGATAAGCTCATGTTAGCACAAAATCTAGTTTCTTATTTCCTATTTCCCGTATCTAATTTTTTCATAAACATATGAATCGAAGCGTTATTTTTTCATTTTGTGAATTATGATATGCATAGTAAATATATCAATATTCATGGAGTCTTATCTCATCGTCAATTGATTTTGAGATGAAACCCATGAATATGATATCAGAGCTCAAAAGCTCAAATGATGGGATATAGCAAAAATTGGTGAACCCCGGAAGAGGCACTGTTTGATCAAGAAAATGACCAACCTTGCTAGCTTCGGATTGGCTAGGACGAACTGGTTGAGCAGCTACGAGATCCGTGCAAAAGACCTGCAAAACAGAGTAAGCACTCTGATGCTAAAGTCAATAAGCATCTCAGTCAACTCAAGAGAAAGAATTGGGTTGATCGCGTACGACCTTGAAATGAAGCGAAATGATCCTATTTATAGGCGAAGTCCCCGACATCGTTTCCGACAATGCCTCAACGGCTCTTTAAGGTTACCGTGAAATACGGCGTGATGTCGCGGAGTCTGTCGGAAAATAGGCTGAGCCGAGGTAGTCTAAGTAACGTAATTGGGCGATCGGCCATTTAACATGGTCGACTCAACAGGAGGATTTAGGACCGAGGTAGCTGTACTCGCAAAGGACGACACCTGTACTGCTCAACAGTCAACCATAGCATGCCACGTGTAGGTTGAGAATTTACCTCCAACCGGCACCATCTTAAGGGAGCATGTTAAATATCCACCTTGAAAATTATAGGACCTAACAAAGATTTATAATAGACATAGGCTACTCCTCTCATTGCCAATTAGTTCTGAGATGAAACTCATGAATATATTAACATGGTATAAAGTGGGAGGTCATATGTTCGAACAACTACGTTGTTGTTTTCTCTCTATTTATAATGATTTCCGCTTGAGGTTTTGTGCGTTTTCTGGTTCAGAAAATTATCTTATCTCTTTCATCGGAGCTAATATGTTTTTTAATATTTTATTTAAAAAAATTAATTTTCATGGAAAACATTAGTAATTTTTTAATTTTCTTTGACCTTTCCAAGGTCTTCCTAAATGTATTTTTAACTATTATGCGTTTAATATTGTAAAGGCGATGTTTTTTTTTTATGCTTAAAAGGAGATGACTTTGACTCGAAATTAGAAAGGAAAACGAACATCCATCTCTCTTACTCTCATAAATATAAAATTGCCTTGCTTTACAAGACTTTAATTGAGAAATAATTAATAAAATGAATAAATTAAATTTAAATATATAATTTTTAAATTTTATAGAAATTATTTATACAATTATTACAATATATTAGATATTAAAATTTAGAAATAAATATTAGAAGTGTGGCCTAAATGTCTCTCCTCCGAATCCCTATTTGGGTTTTGGAGTTTCAAATACTGAAATCTTGACTCTTTCAACTTGAGAAATGAATTGAATTGGTCTTCAAAGAAATCCTTGTTTTATTACTAATACCAACAAAAACTATGCTCCATATATTCAATAATAATTGTTATAGGTGAGATTTTTCTAATGAAAATAATCTATGTGAACCACCCTAATTCAATCCAACTTCTTGAGCATGTGTTAATTATCTAAGCGTGCTCGATCAACAACAATTATAAACTGTCACAAATTCAATTTTAACTGTCATTGAAATACATATTTAATTTGATAATGCATTGATGTGAGACGTTAGAAACTCAAAGTCAAACTACAAGGTAAAATTTGTAGTCTCATGTTGTGGGCTAGGTTACCTGACCCTCGAGACTATAAACCATGAGCTGAGACCTAACAAGAAAAAGGAGGCTTTCATCCGTATGAAGCAGCAGTACTGACAAGATCAGAGGCGCCATGTTGGTCATGTTCAATAGTTGGTCATCGTCCTTGTTGCATAGAATGATTATTCCAAGATCGTCGCCACAAAAATTTTAGGACAATACGTTTTTGGTTCCTGAAATTTGGAGTACGTGTCTATTTGGTCCCTAAAATTTTAAAGTGGTCATAAATGGTCTCTAAACATACTTTGACTGTTAGTTGACTAACATTAAAATAACATAGCAGTTAAATGGTCAATTGTAGAGTGATAATTTGATAAAATATAATAGTTTTTAATAATATTTTTATTGTGACTAGACTTTTCATCTTCTTCCCTTTCCTCCCTCCTCTCTTCTCCTCCTCTCCTTCTCCACCAAACTGTCGCCATCTGCCACTTGCCTCCTCGCTCCTCTTCGGGCGACCGCTCTCGCCATCATTGAGACTTCTCGTCCATATTTGGAAGAGAAAGTTCAGGAAGTGGAACTAGATTTAGACGATAGCAGGTTCTTCCGAAAGATGAGAGGACTGTCGCTTGGATACGAGAGGGACGGCAGGCAACAGTGGTGAACGGTACCTAGGTGGCAGTGCAGTTCATCAGAGAATGGAAGGAGAAGAGAGGGAAAGAAAAAGGAGAGAGGAAGAAAATGAGGGAAAGATATTTTGAAATTAAAAATATTATTAAATTGTTATAATTTGTTTGACTGTCAAATCTCAACTTTGGGCAAGCTTGAACCTCTACTTCTCTGGTCCAGTCTGCCTTACTATGACTCAATAACATAATCAAGATTGATGGATGAAGACCCTTCTTTAGAACGGAAAAATGAGGGCCCGTTCGATAACATTTTGTTTTTTATTTTTTGTTTCTCATTTCTATTTCTTATAAAGATATAAGTGTTTGGTAACCGTTTTTATTCCTTGTTTCTCATTTTTTAAAAAATTTACCCAAATTATGTAGAAATTTTGAAAACAACAAAATAAGATTTCTTATTTCTTGTTCTCATTCCCGGTTTTTTCTAAAACATCACTGTAGATTTATAAAATGCATAATTAATATTGAAAAATAAATATAACCGGAAAAATGAATATTCAATTTCAAAAATTAATTTTCATATAAAATTTTTACTTGTCAACTAAAACATTAGATAACAATAAATAGTTATTAAATGCAATTTTGTGTCAATTTACCGCTATGGTTTCAAATTTTGAACGATACATTGACATATCGCTCGACATGTCAACGTGTCGAGGTGTTCGACATCGACATGTGGAGGAAAAGTCATTTTTCCCCAATGTCGTCGACATGTCGACTCAAATGTTGTTTTTTTTTTAATTTAGGTTATTTTATTTTCATCTTCTTCCTACTGCAATCTATAATTTCTCACAATTTCGATGATTGTAATCTTAGTTTGTTCAATGCAATATTCGTATTTTAATATAAAGATTTAGTAATAAGTATAACTAACAAGATCATTACGAATATAAGATTTGGAATTTACTTTCTGTTCTATTAGAAGTAGTTGACTACTTCTTTTTTGTGCAAGGGTAGTTGATTACTTCTTTAGTGTCTTTTAGGGCCCGTTTGATAACCATTTTAGTTTTTGGTTTTTGGTTTTTCTTGTTTTTAGTTTTTGGTTTTTGGTTTTCTGTTTTTAAAAAACAAAAATCATATACGTTTTATAACAACTTGTAGTTTTTAGTTTTTAAAAAGTTAGAAATTTGAAAATACATACTATAGAGAGAAATTTTATGTAGAGTAGAGATGACAATGGTGTGGGTGCGAGAGTGAGGATGCTCTCCCCCATTCTCGTGCTCGTGAAAATTTTTAGTCTTCGTCTCCACCTCGTTCTTGGGTTCGAGAGATATTCTCGAGAAAAATTATCAATTTTATAATTGTTTTTAATTTTTATTATAATTTAAGTATAAAAAAATGTAATAAATATATATTAATTATTTAAAAAATGGAATCAGGGTCGGGACATGCATTTCATATTTTTGGGACCCGGCCCTGCAGAAATTTTTATCTTCTCCCTAATGTAGAGACATGAAAATACAAGTTTAAAGAGATGTAAATAAATTTTTGGAAAATAAATTTTAGAGAGATAAATAAAAAGATTTAGAAAAAGAAAATAGTGAAAGAAAAGTTGAAGACAAAAAGAGAAAAATTGTAGAGAAAAAAAATAAAGTCGAGAGGAAAAGATATGTTAAAGAAAAAAAAAGAAATTAAAAAGAAATAGAAAAATGATAGTGGAAACAAATTTAGAGATAAAAACAAGATTCAAAATATAATTTTTAGAGCAAATAAATAAATACAAAGATAAATAAAAGTTACAGTGAAAGATAATTTAACGAGAAAATAAAATATAATTTTCAAAGTACAAAAAAAATTACGAAGAGAAAGAAAAGTTATAAAG